AACTTGTTCAGAATCTTAGTTGATATTCCTATCGTCATTTATTCGGTATCAATCTAACGACAGAGGAATTTTTTCGTTTCTAAGAGTTTTAAATTGATCATTCTTCAGGTTTCGTTTATTGATGATGTTCACGAACTCAAGTGTCTCGTAAACTGTATTTTGCAATATTTTGACTTACTGCTCAATAATCCTGCTTCATGGCGTAGAGGCATGAATAAGCTGGCCTTAGCTTTGGCTTCCGTTGGTGCAGCCCGCCTTCCAGGTTGGAGCCCAGGGGATGGGGATTATGGTCGGTTAGAGGCGGTGGGAGATATGCCCTAGAATAGAAGTCAGTTGCGCGAATGCCTGTGAAAATCCCGTGCCCCGTAATAAAAAAGAACCAACAACAAATAAAATATCTAAAACTGTACGATGAAGTACAACAAGTTGCTATCCCAGCTATCTACCATTTTCCGCTTCAACTGTTTTTGTTTCTTTTCACATTCTGTATCCCAGTCTACCTGCCCCCTCGTTATTCTTATTGTTAATATTGTTATGGCATTGGTACCAATCTTGTTCTCAGGCCGGTGTTAAACATACATATATATATATCTTGCTACATTAGTAGGAGACGGGCATAAGCAGTAGCCCACGCGTCGAACGTGCACAGTATGTGGATGTCAGTGGCTCATGCTCTATATGATTTTTTAGCATGGAGAGGGGTGGGTGTGGGGGCAATCAAACACAAACGCCTGCGCCTATTGGTATGGTTAACGGCCAAAGAGTGCCATGGGATTTGAGGCATATGTGGTAGAGGTAGGCTGCAGAACTGTTTTCCCCCACGCTTCATCAAGGAATCTGTGCTGCATGGTGATCATTCAGACATAGATAAGAGGCTTTAACAGTACAAGGGCCTGGCAGTGCTAATGAGGTCAACGGCTCAACTTGAAATGATGCCCGGACATTTTGATTTGATAATCGGACAACTTGAATTGCCAAAAATATAGGTATTGTATGGGGATTGCTGAATCTATTCTGCCAAAAGATTTACTCGTCAGTCATTCATTGTCGACACCCTTTACACACACACACACACACACACACACACACACACACATCCCATCACTGTCGTCTATTACCCGTGAGTTGTCGATTACATTCGTCCTGATGATACCACGCCGTTTGCAAATATGCACGCACAATTAGTGTGTTTGTTCCCCTCTATTTCGTCATTCTCACTTGTTTTATCGATCCGTGCTCATCCCACACACACTAAAAGAAGCTGACCACACTGTCGTTTCACGGTGTTCTCTGCTGTCTAGCGATTACATCCTTTGCATTTTGATTTGTTCACCTCAGACCACTTCTCACGATTGATCATTACAGATGCATGTGTTCCTGTTTGACATCGTCTGGTTTATTCGTTTCATTGGCCCCGCAGTGCGTGCCTGCTTGCTCGCAGTTCTTACTCGTTGAACTACTGGCATCATAGGTTCCGGCATTTGTTCACCCGAATAGTTGGAATTTACCTGCTGCCGTCTGTGCTTCCGAATCGTTTTGTAAAAAAGAAACCCATTTGTTAAAAGACATCGTCTTCTCTGTAATTACGTCTCTTTTTACGTGGAACTTTGTGGTCTAGGAAGTCAACATTAGATATCCAGAGGTGATTGATAATGATGTATGGTTTGAAATATAAATAAGCTAGCAGTGGTACCATGGATGAAAAAACATGATATCAAACAAACCCAGGTCTAACACACCTGTGGCGTTGAAACAACACTGAAAATTAGTAGATATGCGACACTGGTTATTGATTGAATGCTTGAGCATATCATTCCGTTGATATCACGCTCGGATAGTATCATTACCTCTCTACTCATTTACATTCTCATATTCAGATAATCCTTTTTTGACCGTCACTCCAAACCAGAAAGTTGACTGTACACGTTTGGATTCGGAAAGAACGAGAAAAATAGTTAAAAATTAATGAGTGATGCAACTGCAATAGTTTCGAAAAATTTCTCTCACACGTAGCGAACTCCGTTCTTTGACTGACATTTGATTAATCGAGACTGTCCCCTTCATTCATCACATTTTTTGTTTATCATTTGTTTCGAATCAACCAGCCAATTCAAAGTTTTCATGCTCCAACGAATATTTCTCTACGTTGACAAAGTTTACGTATCTTTGCGGTTTTTGTACTGGCGTATTAACCAAAAATATCATACGCATTTCACTGTTCCCTTCAGGATCAATTGCAACAAGCCACCGACCAGTTGCGTATTCAGCTGAAAATTTCAGATGATACTCCGTCCACTGCGCTTATACCGTTCAGTTCTTCACACTCTTGGACAACCGCTGTGGATAGTTCCACAGATGGTCAGGCACAGCCTGCACGTAGCAGTCTTTCAGGGGACACAATTGATAGTGCTGTGGCTGGTTCTTTGGGAACCACGGTCACTGCTAAGCTAGTTCTCACATCCCTAAGACCCCCTCCGGCTCCTGGACGTATAGGAACGGGTACACATCGCATTGTCACTAGCCGGGTCGGAGTTCGGGGCACCTCTCCCGGCACTACTTTGACTGTTGAAAATGATAACCACTTGCGTTTGCCTCAAGTCGGTGATACACCAAACATATCCACAGGAAAAATGTCCCCATCACGGTAAGTGATAAATAACTCGTTTTGTCAGTTCAAAATGATTCGTAAATATCAAGTACCAATTCATAATGGATTTGTTGCCAGATTCGTTTCCCCGTTAAGAGTAGCACAATGTAAATCCAGTAAAACCACCCACAAGTAGCTGCAGCGTCAGGAAATACTTGTGTCCATTCATACACAAGAGATACGCGGATAGTGAATGAAAACATAGAACGCCTAACTTTTAGGTAGAAGGTTTTCTGAATGATGTTGTCATTTCACAGACGTCGATCTTTGTTCGGTTCCATCAGTCTGTATCCGTTGGCGGGATGAGTCAAACAAATAGCATGCGAAATTAGAGATGGAAAAGTCGTGATTAATTTTTGCGCAGAATGAAGTAACGTTTTTGTGAGAGTGGTTTGCTCTTCTTGATTTCTCTTCGGTTTCTGATTTCTTCGTTACGTGTCAGTGAGATGTCAAACGCATCATCTCTCACTCCAGTTACCATCTACCTAAATTGTTAGTCGTATGGCCTGCTTGTCACTTGATTGATACGTTTCATTGGAAGTTCCGCTTAAAAGTTTTCTAGCCTGGTAACTAAACACTCAGAGGCTAAACAGTATTCGTTGGTTAAACAACTCACCAGAAATATCGATTGCTCGAGATGGTTTCAGTCATTCCGGAACTGAAATATGCCTAAATGGTATCAATTGCTATCAATTAGTGATAAATGCATTTTACAGCGGATCAATAGATTGTAATATATATATATATATATATATATATATATATCTAGCTGTATATCGCTATCAAAAAGAAACGATACGAGATACAAGAAGATAACGACGCGTAAAACGACCAATTAACGGGAACCAAAAGGATAAGAACAACAGTTTCGGTTGGATTGTTTGGCCTTACACTCTTTGGTATTTTATGTGTTTAAATAATTATCGAACAGATAAAAAAACTCAGAAGAGCGTTAGTTTCCAATGCTCCGTGATTTGCTTACTCTGTGAAATATTACCTGTCCTGATTACGCATGATATCTTGTGGCAGCTTATTTGGCTGACAGAAAAACGAAGAGACTGGAAACAAGAGCCGAAGTTAAGTTAATAGGTAAATGGAAAAGGGCACCAATGGAGCAAAGGAACATTGAACTCGGTTATTTCTGAGTATTTATGTGAGATATATTATATTGACGTGTACTGATTGTCCTTCAGAATCAGCTCCAAGGAACATTCTCAATACTCCAAATCGAGTTAGGCCTAAGTAAACATTATACACCCAAAAAGAGAATTTTCAGCGATTTTTACGAGAATACAGCGGCAAAAGACAAAGAAGCGTGAATGGAGGGAAAATTGTATTACATTGTGAAAAGGGATGATGTCTTTTCTGTATGTGGTGGTGCGTGCCAGAAGGAGCTTGTAGTGGGAACGTGTACGGGGGTTTGACACGGATCTGAGAAGTTCGATGTACAGACATTGATCTTTATTGTTCAAGGTTATATTGGCAATTCTCTCACATACCTCGATATGCTTGCACACAATAAAATGACCACGACATTTCTGACCCTACAAATAAATTCGAACAGAAGTTTGATGGATCTGAAAGTTACTATCAAATCTTCTTCTTTCAAGTCGGTAAAAATGTTTGGGAACCTTATGGCTAATAGCTAATAATGCATAACTAATCTAAGTGAGATTGCGTAACTGAAGGAGGCCGAGGCATTGAACATCTTAGAGAATGTTGTGACCGTTGATGACTACTACAGGTAGATCATTAAAACTATTGTGTTAAAGGGAGACTTGTCAAAGGTTGACAAGAACATTAGCAGACTTGGAAACATTAGGTGTAAGGAATTGGGGTAGGTACCAACGAAAGATCTTTATGCTGTTTTGAAGCTGATGGAAAGTTACATCAGCGTACTTGCAGGCAATGAAGTTGGCGGCAACACGCAAGAGACAAAATCGGGTCCTGAAAAACACCGGAATTAACTTCTGAAGAAGATAAAGTCTGATCATTACATGAAATGAATTGCTTCTTAAAACGGGAGTAGTTTAGTAGAAAGTTTAACACATCAGATACACTCAACTTTGTTCCCGTTTGAGCTCATTTGTCGTGCCTATCCACCGACCTATCCGGTCTTTTTAACTCCGAACTCTTCGCATGGAAGGCCTGCGTCACCGCAGTGCAAATCGGGTCACATCTTGGTTGACCAGAAGTCCTAATTAAAATAAATTATTGTATAGACTTCAGAGATCAGCAGCCAGTTACGAAATGAGACACGGTTGACAGTCTTCTTACTTCAAATCGGCTCTAGGCTTTTTAAACATATATATAGCCTGTTAATCGACGAAACTCTGCCTAACTGTGTCATCACCAGACACAACCAATTAGACTTTGCATCCAACTATTTGATAGCACTTTACCCGTTAACCAGCAATGATGAACCATATCCCTATCCATCAGGATCAGCTCACGAAGAACTCTAGGATGAGAGATAAAAAACCTGAGATCAGTGGTTGTAAAAAGTGAAATGGAAGCGAGTTTTTTGCACTTACACTGGTCTGTTTTTAGTCACTTTGGTCAGTAAATGAAGGATGCAGAAAAGGGAATTCACTGTTTTTCTGCACAAAACCTCAGCGGTCTATCCTTTTGAGATCGATCACTGATCGCTCCTATTTTCCAAGAACAGTCTATTGCTACACGATAGAACCCAAAGTTAATCTGTTTTAAAACTGACATTGTTTGAGCGATGCATATACCTAATCGATTGATGACGGTTAGTTCGAGTCATTTTTCTTTGGCTTCTCAGCAAAATCCTTTGTGTTAATCCGACCAAATGCGATATGAGAACACTTGTCCCTAAATAATGGCACACAAGCACATGGTTAGATTGTTTCATACTGAAGCTCTGTTTCCCCCATTATGTTGGTATCTGTTCCACTTATTTTCATTCGTGATTTTGTCCTCTTTGATGATTGGTCAGTGTGAAAGGTGTGCGCCTATTTCTGTAGACATTTTCGCTCTATTTCGCACCATATCACTCCGTATTCTAGGATCGAGTGGTCTGCCGAACTGACTGATGCGACAGCACCGGTAATTCTGTCTGACGATCAGTTGTCTGCCAATGAGCACGAAGACACACTGAACGATCAGTTAACCATTCCCAATCTATCCGGATCAGTGCATTGCACCGACGCGTCAGACATTCCCGAGGCCAGCCCTCCTGAGTCTGAGGCAGATTTGGATGAGTTCAGTTCAGCCCCGGTTTGTGCAACTCCAACCAATCAATGTGTCCGTTCGGGGTCGGACAGAGACGCCTCATCGGAGTTCTTAAACCCCAGACAGACGCGTGTGAAATTTGCTTCTGAACCAGAAGTACTCCTCCCCAAAACCGACATGACTACGTCAGCAAGTAGTTTAACCGATCTTACTCAGATGTCCTCCGGGGAGTTACACAATTCCAGCGCCCCAGATGCTGAACCTGATCTGTCCTCAGTTCAAGCAATAGCCGAGGGCGATTCGAATTTCTCGTTCGAAATATCGACAGCTTCCAAAGGTTGTTCCCAGGTCGTCCCGATGGAAGGAATTGCATCTCCGCGAGCCAAAATTTGAACGTCAAATATATATGCATATGTATATTTTATTTGCTTGTTCGTTATTGTCATGAATTTGATTATTTCACCAGTGTAGAAAGAATCACGTGCACCAATACACTCACTAACCTTGTGGTCAAAAAAGGTGATGGTAACAGAATGACCCTTTATATTCCACTGACACGCACACGTGAATTTCTAAACGCATCGAAACCTCATTTGATGCTCATTTTGATGTTCCCTTCAATCCGGATCTCGGGTGTCTATTTTCACTATCTTGCCATGATCGGTTAAAAGATGCATTCACTATTATTTTGACTGAGATTGTTAAATTTTTCCACCGTTTAGCGTGGAGCGGGCATCAGTGTTCTGCTTGAGTTGCGGTAAACACGTTTCCAGAAATGCTGCAAATTTGATTGTTATATATAATATGGCTCGTTTTCAGACTCCATCGGATTAATAATAGTAATGACACAGAAAATATCTGTTAATCTGATGAAACACAACCGTACCTAAGTAACTGGGATCAACAGGGTAAATTGTGAGGCCAGGAGTTTTAGATCCAGTCCCAAGCTTTGGAACTCCTGAACAGGCTGTCAGTATCAAAGTGTTGAACTCCAAACTGTACACGCATTTTCCAAGATGGAATCGCCACAAATTAAGTGTATGTGGTCTGTAACTGAATACCTGACTGAGTGATCTCCAAAATAAAAATGATCTAACAAGATTTTAAGGTGCTCGATTAGCATCACAAGTGTTTCAACGAATGCTTGCATTTCAGAGTTCTGTTTTAAAGCTTTTGCCATTGACAAATAACATATTGTACTGTGCGACCAAGCCAGGCTTGGCTAGTCCTGCAAAACTGCAATACTTCTGTTTCATAATGGAATTATGCAACCCGACTATACAATTAACACGATATTAGGTATCCAGTCTGAAACCCCAATGAACTAAACTTTGAATTCAGCTTGACTTACCGACACCGTATGTGTGAACGCTAGCAACCTAGTGATGCTTAAATCATTATATACGAACATCAATCCATTCTGTAGACATTGTGAATCACTTTGTTCTGGTGAATGCGGTCATAGGTTATTGTGGCATCGACTTGACGGATAATAAGAAAAGCATGATTGTCGCGATTCCATTACAGAATATGGATGTGTATAAGTTGCAGAATTCGGTTCTAGACAAGCATAAAGCACTTACTGCTTCAGACACAAATTGAAAAAGCTGCAATGTATATGAATGAATTGGGTGGAGGTTTTAGTCCATAATAGCTTTCAGTGAAAATTTCTTAAGCATTCGTTTCACTGACCGGTTCTTGCATTACTTTCGAAAGAGCCTCTTATTTTATTGAATTCCGTTCGTATGCTATTTTTAATGGATTACACTCGTAAATCAAGTTGAGAATGATTGCACAGCAGTTTGGTTTGCGCAGCTGAAATCCTATAGAACGATATTGTAAACCAACATACCATAGCCGTTTACACACATACAGCGCATTATGATGGCTACCTAGGGAAGAAAATGAGATAATTGTCGGTTACCGCTACATCAATATCCTCCCAGAAAGATAGTGACAAGCAGACTTCAAACAGATAGTGGAGATATTAACGTTTTGGAGATACCACCTTTTGGTTCCTGATTGCGGATTAGCCACAGACCGAATGCTACTCTTATGACTGTACTGTGGCATCTGAGGAATACCTAAGTGTTGATTGGAAATGAATCCTTCGTAGTTTCATAGGAGCAGTTTTCTTCCGAGTATGGTGCATGCTTAATGCTGATGCATAGTTGTGTATCTGAAAGAAATGCACATGGAAGGTGGATCCTCCGTGTCCATTGGAGTGGTTCTTTCCAGTATAGAACAAACAGCGGCAGATTTGACAGAGCCAGTAAAGGGAATAGTCAATTGGGCTGCGTGCAACCGACGTAGAGCCGGAATCCTATCTAGTATTTAGAAGTATTCAATTTTATAGAATTTTGGTCATTCTGAGCTTCCTTACTCCAAGCAAAGAGACCTTATGAGGACAGTTGGCTCCAGCTTATCTTCTTTCATTTATAATAAGAAACAGAAGTGACTAACTGAGCTCTTGTAGCGGGCGTAGCAACTCTTCTGATATCATTGTAGGTTTAAGAAGCAAAATAGAGAGACTTTGCTTCAAAGTCACATCGTTACAAACCTGAGAACTGTTCGACTACAATGAGAAAGATTTAATTCCGTCACGGTGTATTTTCCACTGTTACAGTTAGTGACTAAATTCGGCTTCCACCTAAGAGAAAGATCACAGAAAATCCCTGTCGAGTCTCAGTATGGAATTTGTTTCTTCTGTTCTTCATCCAAATGGGCAGCCAAAAGACAGCAACCAAAACCGGCGCACGAAAGTGCATGGTTAATGGTTGTTCAAACTGAAACTGGAGGCGAAAATGCTAGCAAAAAGATTCACGAAATGCACAGTAAACAGGATCGTGCTGGACTCATTTTTCAATAACTGCAGCAGCAAACCTTTTTGCAACAACGTTAAGAGACTTTGGAAATGCCTCAGATATTTCTCATTTCGCATACTGTGGGTGAATATTTTGTTTATACGGCTCTGAGTGAACCAGGAATAAATGACAAAAGGACAAATAAGTCAGCTGTCAATAGTTTCAACTATATAGGTCAGGATAAAAGACGTCATCGAAGGAATTTATAGAAGTGTTTTGTTAGTTGACGAAGAACACCGGATTTCTTTCTCTTTCTTGTTAGGAGTTTGTTGTCAGTAACTATTTTCGATCATTTTACGGCACTCCAAACAGCAACCATTCAGTGATGACAGGCCATTGGGTAAGCCTCATCAAATATTTCCTACGATGCTAAAGGGACCTTAAAATTTTTCAATGTGTTCTAAGTTTTTTGTTGCAAACACAGTGCCATGTTTGTGTCCTAAACATATTCGAGTGACCGCCCGTAAATGTGAATACAAGGTGGGGAAAAAGTAGGTAACTCCTTGGAAACCTGCAAAATGCTGCACTTCATATTCGTAGTGAATTATTTCGTCGAAATTACGTGGTGCGTAGTTGAAGAAACCGCTCATTTAATTCGGGTTCGCAATTCTGGAAAACCGTAAGTGGGGCTTGTTTGCGCAGCATTATTTTGTGCTTCAGTCCATCAAGAAACCCAGAAAAGCTGGAGCAGATTACGTCTACTGCTTCCCCATGGTGGTTTGGTTTTATTCATTCATATCGTCGTGCAAGCAGCACATTAGTCGCGCTCGATCTTTGTCGTCCACATTCGTGTTGCGCTGGAAATAGACGGGGCAGTATGCTTATCCAAATGTTCTATCAGGAAATCAGCTACAATGGACTATACGGCCTTTGACACACAGGAAGTAAAGTTCACGCGGCGCTTGTTTGTGAACAACATTGAACACCAGTTTTTTGAATAGACAGAATGATGGTATGTACCAATGAGTGAGGACTCACCGTTTATGCCAAAATGCGTTGATATTCTATTTGCCTTATTTGTTTACACATTATGTGGACATAGTTGGTAGTGGTTGGTTTTATTCATACCCTTTATTTGAGTTTCGAATATTCATTAGTGATCCCTGAGTATATTGTTTCATGAAAATAAAATTGATGTCTTCCAGTTTGCCAGGATGTCAGTTGTAACACGATCCAAATTGTTGTGCGGAAGATATTGCAATCGCTCGCTCACCTTGTTTTCATGGTTTGTGGAGAGTGGGGGAGTGGGTTCACAGACAAAGTCATCCGCATAAAGAGATGCTGGGTTTTGGCTGACATCAAAACCCTTCTGGTCGCTCAACACAACCGATGAAATGAAAGACGTGTGATAATTCATTTCTCACCTTGTAACACAGTTCAAATTTGCCAGATAATAATAGCATTCTAATTTCACTAATGAATAGAATCGTTTATGTTAACCGGCTTAGTTTGATGTTGTCAGGAATTTAGTGCATGATCAAACAGTTTCCTACTTAGGCATCGTAATATTCTCCTGTCGACCACGTGATATTATTGTATGTCTAGGTATTGCATGTATTTTATGTCTATGCTCTGTTTATGCAAGTCATTCGATGCAAGGTGCACGATAAATGTTATGTAACTTTTCCCACCCCGAGTTTGATCCATCGTCAGATATCATAAACAAAACAATGAATAATTGGTGTCAGAACCGTGCACTTGTGAACTACATTCGCTATGTGGCTACAGTGACTATCATACTAGGCATGTGTCACAGTTGTGTTATCTGTGATAGTGTGGCGTTTGACAGGATTCAGTGCACAATCCCAAACACACTATCAACTTATTTCGCTGTTTCCTATGAACATGTTTTGCGTCTTCGTCGCAACCCTTTGAAGGCAAACAAATGATATGAACTTTTGTGAGAATTGGCAAGTTAGTACACACCGTCTCTCGATAAATTTCCTCAGAAGGTTGCCGTGGACGTTTCAAGGGATGTGCACGAACAAAATCTTATCCTTTGCAAGGGAGACCAATGTGGAAGGGCTTGTTCATAAATTCATCGAAATCAAAGTGAAAGGTGAATTCCATTTTGTCGAACAATTGTTCTTCCTAATAGATGACTACACTTGTAAACATTTTCATTGTGGTCTGCATTATCACTACTGCTCGCAACTCCGATTGAGCGTCCCGATAATCCCTGCTTGTTACCGAAATTATTCAACCTTCGATCATGCATCTGAGCCTTCGCGTGGAGCTTCTATTGCTGCCATCAATTTGCTTACTATCGAGACGCATTCCGGTAAACAGACTGCGCTTTTGTTTGGTCGGAAAATGATAGATTTAGATTGTAGTTCACATTCAATATATAGTTGCGACTGGATTGGTCATCCTTCAAACTCCATATCCGATAGCGATTCTCAGTTCTTCCAATCAGTTATGTACCCAGAACTGTAGTTGAACTGCAGCTTTGTTTCCGTTGGAGCTCATTAGTCGTGCACATCCAGCGAACTAGTCGGTCTTTTGAATTCGGTAGACCTTAGATTGAAG